AAGAAATGCAATGAGAAATGGTTTCGTTGAGAAAACGTAAAGTTTTCAATTCTCCTTTGCATAGATCTCTTACAGCGGTATATATGTACACCGTGTGTGTGTGTGTGTGTGTGTGTGTGTGTGTGTGTGTGTGTGTGGGTATGTGTATGTATGTTTCTATTGTCTCAATAAGTGCGCTATTTGTTGTGTATGCGAATAATTTTATTTTCCCGCAAAATTACACACACACACACACACACACAAACAAAAGTAACGATACGACGAGTAGCCAATGATTTAAAAAAGAATTTTCGCAAAAACTAAAATGAAACATAACGAATGAAGAGCAGCAACTTGTGCAAAATGTAATTAAGTAAAATGGTTGGTTATGTTATTATTGTTGCTGTTGTTTTTCTTACATTCATATATATATACAAAACATACGTAAAAATACTTAAGCAATCCATTTCGTAGTAGTGGATACACTATCAATACTAATGGTGCTAGTGGTAATATTAGTAGTAGTAGTCGTAGTAGTAGTAGTAGTAGTAGTAGTAGTAGTAGTAGTAGTAATAATAATAATAATAATAATAATAATAATAATAACACTAATAATAATAATAATAGTTGTAGTAGTATTTGTAATAGTAGTAGTAGTGATGCAGTAGTAGTGTAGCAGTAGTTGTATCAGTGGTAGTAGTTGTAGTAGTAGTAGTAGTAGTAGTAGTAGTAGTAGTAGTAGTAGTAGTAGTAGTAGTAGTGGCGCATTAATTCTGAAAACAAAAGGTTTTTGAACTTGACACAAACACATACTGACACATAACCATGAAAGAGTTGGAGATAGTGTGGCAAAAAGCAAAAGATGGTGGGAAAGAGATGTGATAAGAGAGGAGGTCTAAAGGTATATATATATATATATATGTACTGAAAAGCATAATAAAGTTATAATCAAGTATAAAAAAATAATGCACAATACCGCATAAAGTGAACATGATTTATTTGGAAAAGTAACAAAACACCAACAACTGCAAAAAGTCTTATTTGTTTTGCAATAGCGCTGTTTACGTGTGTTGTTGTTGTTGTGTTCTGTGTGTGCACAAAACAGACAAAGGGCGGACAGTACCGGTTATAAAAATTCTTTTCACATTTACACACTTTGCGTTTAGTTGTAGTTATTTATTTTATTTTTATTTATTTATTTTTTTTTCGCTTTTTTCGTTTTTGTTTTTCTTCTGGTTTTTATTTTTACCCCATAGCTAACATGAGCAAGAAGAACAAGCAAGGATTACATATAAAATATTTCCCGCCAAATTCATGTTTAAAGAGAATTCTTTGGCGTTTTTTTTAATTTTTTTTTTTTTTTTTTTTTTTTTTTTTATTGAAAAGTGTTCAATACCTGTGATACCGGCTCACCTCTGCACACAATATGCATATATATGTAATGTGCATAAATAATATGAATAATAGTTCGTTTCATTTAATAACTAACTGCTGATTATTTAAAAGTAGAAAAACTTTTAAGACTAAATCGTGTTGAAATTTTCAGTTTTTTTTTTTTTTCCGTTATAAAGTCAAAGTCTAGATTACGTTTCACAGTTACTTTGGCGTAAAAGGAATCTTTACGGATTGTGTAGATGTAATCACTTTTGTAAGTTAAAAAAAAAATCCCGAAACTCTAAACTCATAGCCTAGACTTTTAAGCTTATTTTATGCACATGTGTTTTTTTTTTTTTTTTTTTTGATATAAATATATATATATATATATATATATTATTTTTATATACCCACTATTAGAAGATGAAGATATTACTTACTCTGTTTTTTTTTTTTTTTGCAATGTTTGCAACGTCCTATAAGATTGTATATATTCTTGTTCAGCATGAAATTCTGATATCGATTTCAAATTTGGTAAAATGATTTTAAGTTTTCGCGCGCGCACGTTTTTAAAAATGGGTTAAATTGGTCAGAATTGAAGTCCGCAATGGAGCATAAATTAAACGCAATTTTGTTTTTCTTAACCAAAAATTTGAAAAATTTTTGCTCGGTTGAAATCTTCCAAATTTATTGTACGAAACACCCTACTCTTTACGTGTAAAATTGCAAAAAATAAAAAAATCGACCATGCCCACACAAAGTTACAATTGATTAAATTTTATTATTTTTTTTTTTTTCACTTTTTTAGCATATTTATGCATATTTATCCTAACGCAAACAAGACAGAATGTTTACTAAGCTATTTTGTATATTCCTCAAACGATATAATATTATCTGACTATGAATGGGGTTCATTCCAAAATAAATATAATAGAAATCGCGATTATTATTATTATTATTATTTTTTTTTTTTCAAACAATAATACCTTCGATATCGATATCAAATAAAAGGACTTGGTAGTAGTAGAGTAGAATGCGAAAAGTGTAGTGATGTGTGTGCGAGAATCGGTTTTTTTTTTTTTTTTCTTATATAAGAAATTCTTTGAACGACCAAACAAACAATGCATTTTATGCTTGAAAACTTTTAACATCACTTTCCCCTCAATAATCCTGCAGAATATCATGGATACGTCAATTTTATTCGGATCATAACAATTTCAACGGAATGAAGCTAAAGCGGAAAACTTCCACATTTTTAAAATCTATTATGAATTATATACAGTCTTCAAGAAAGTATTTCGATAATGCGGCTTCTTTTGTTTTTTTTTTTTTTTTTGTTTTTTCATAAAAATACATTCAAAGCGGTTACACCTGGCCATTATTTTGCTCCTCACATTTATGTAGTGAACATTGAAGAGCCAAAAAATCAAATAAATGGTTTAATTGATATCATCAATGGTGCATTCAATATTCGTTTTCGATGCTCTAGAGAGACTAACGCTTTCAAATAAATTCATCGTAAGAGGTATTTGAGATGAGGTTAAATGATAATCCTCTGAAGGCATTTGATATTAGAGCAATAAAATTGTCATACTCAAGATGGTATGATTGAAACCAAATATTCTTTCTTTCATTCTACTATTCTCGTTTTCAACGAGATAAGGTAATAAGGACGAAACCGCCAGCTGGTTATAGGCTATAAAATCACATACGCTAAACGGTCACTGCTAACGAATCTAATTTAACAAGTTTTGCTTATTCCCATCCTGAGTTCATTGAGTTCTCTCATATTAGATAATTCGATAATTTCCATGTATCCAAACAAGACAAAGACGGAATGATTTTGTTATTTAAACTATGGCCGCAATGTCAAGGCAAGACCATCAAGACTCATCAATATCATGCTCTTCGTGGGGAATCCCACATATATTTATATATGGAAAAGTGACCATGAGCTGGAAAGTATGAATTATGTAAATGGCTTACCTTTTAATTTTTTATACTCAGTATTGCATTTCCCTGTTACCCCTGTGACTGCGCGAAGAAACATAAAAGGAATAAAAAAAAGTTCGTTACATTTAATGAAAGGTTAACTTCTACTTCGCAATTTAGATTCTTTAATATATAAGTGAGTTGCGAAACTTGACAAAAAAAAAAAAAAAAAAACAAAAAAAAACAAATTGATATTTATGATATAAATAAATGCTCTCCCTCTCTCTCTCTCTTTCTCTCTCTCTCTCTCTGTTTCTCTCTCTCTCTCTCTCTTCTAAACCGGATGGCCAATCATTATCACAAGTCTGTTTTGTTTGTTCACATAGCTCAGCATGTATTTATTGTCTCTTAAGAATATTTTAAATCTCAATTCCACGAGTTTTTGTTGTTGTTGTTTTTTTTTTTTCACATATATACATTAAAAATAAAAATATTTATTTAGCTACTTTCACGCTTTGGTACCAGCGTTCAAGTCAAGGTTATTCTGTTTAATAATTTTTTTAAACGTTCATTAACCGCTCACTGGAAAGAAAAACAAAAAAAAAAAAACGAATAACAAACAGCACTACTGCAATAATAATAAAAATCTCACAAATCGAAATTTTTGACGTTAAAAAACAACTGTTTTTAAGAGATTTCTTTTTTTTTTTTTCATTTTCATTTTTATTTTATTTTTTTTATTTTTTTGTAATCATAAAACCAAGAAGCTTTTTAATGATAATTAAAAAAAAAAAAACATTTGAAGGAATTTTAATTACACTTTAATGATATTATTAAAGACAAAATACAGTACTGCACAAGCACACATACCGCTTAAAATTGTTCAATAATTTTATGATGTGTTTGAGAAACAAACGATAAAAATAAAAAAAAAAAAATGAGGAAAAAATGGAAACAAAAAAATATTTATTAAATTTTATCTTAGGCGCTAATAAAAATCTATTTTTATTTTATTTTGTTTTCATTCTTTTTATATGCCGAAAAATAACAAAGTTTACAAATAATTTGCAATTATTATTATTTAACGATCAATCTCCCAAGTCGACCGGTCAAGTGATTGTTGAACTTTCTTTGTTGTAGTTTTGGAGGAGGTGTATAATAATAATAATAATTAAACGATTTAAAAAAAAAAATAAATACCATTCTCTATAAATCTGAAAAAGTAAGATCCTATGTCGACAACAAAACACAATTCACGTACAATTAAGGCGGGAAGCGCTTCAAAGCGCTCTGAGCAAGTAAGATTCTAT